GATTAACAGATTATCAGATTAACAGATTAGTAGATTAACAGATTAACAGATTAGTAGATTAACAGATTATCAGCCAAAAACTGAAACAAAGCTGAAAACCTGGTTGATGGCGGTACGTGGTTGTTATTGGACAGTGATGAAGAGTTAAATCGGTTAAATCTAAAATGTAATAATCTGAGTCTCCCCCCCCCCCTCTCAGACTGGCCCTGCAGCACGGTGACGGCCATGTTGTGGACTACCTGAGTCAGCCCGTCATCGACTACATCCTGCAGAGTCAGCTGTACATCAACGCCTCCGGGTAGAGACGACATCCTGCATGAGAACAGGGAGAGTGGGGGTGGGGGGGCTACCTATGACACCATCTATATGAATATAACACCCCCCCCCCCTAAAAAAAAACAACTTAAACTTCCTTCTCTGTCTTTTGTGTCAAACATATACTCTTCTTTGATCTTCTTCCACTGGAGCATTAGTGTCCCTCCTTCTGTCTGTGTCATGTGACGTCACCATCAGGAAGGGGGCGGGGCCTCTTGGGATGAGAGGGGGGGTGTTGGAGGTGAACCCCTCAGGGCTGCAGGCGTGTCATTGATGTATTTCTCCACCTGCGATGGTGACGGCAGTGTTTTCCTCACTCTTGTTTGTGTTCTGTCTTTATTATAATAAAGTTTCGGGGGTGCATGACACACACAGCCAGGCATGCTCAGTGAACCCGGGGCAGATGGGTAAAAAAAAGGTTCAAGGACGAGGTCATCGGGCCTGATGCAAGAACGGACACACAAAGAAAAAGTCTCAGTCTCCTCATGTCAGCGATGTTGTTTCAGAGTGAAGTGGTCTTTTCTTCATCTCAATTAACTTGGAGTTTAATTAAACCAAAATAAAACTAAAGTTTAGACAATCATGCAAGTAGAAAAACGTCAAATTTAGTTTATAGACTTGCTGATATTCTGTTCACTGAACTTTTTTAATCCGTAGTGAACAGCAGCTCTTTGCTTCAGACAGAAGCAGCAGATGAAAAGATCTCATCTCCTGAATCCATTGAGGAAACCTCACAAAGTGATTTTTAATGTGCACATCGTAGCTTCACAGAGGCTATCGTGCTAACACACATGCTATCGTGCTAACAGTCTGAGGCTGAAGGTAGAAACCGACCGTCTGCACAGACAGAAGAAGTAGTCCCCGGTGACGGTGAAGATGCTGCTTCTGCAGAAACTTGTTGTGAATCTTAATCTTTGTCAATCCAGATTTCTACAGAACGCAGAACCGTTGTTTGCATGAGGCCCCGACACCGAGCCGGCACTGAACATCATGACCATGATGAGCTTCTGTGAAACAAATCCTCAGCAGCAGTGTGGTTGTTGTTGTTGTTGTTGTTGTTGTTGTGTTTCTTTTCTTCTTCATGTGCTGCTGTTAGCTCTTCTTCCTGTAGACTGCATGCTTAGACACGTTTAGCTTCTGGCATGAACGTCCATCACTCGCTAGACTATGGTCTGTGTGAGCAAAAACACAAACAGTATATATATGTATATACATATATATACATATATATATACACATGTATATGTATATATAAGATATAAAGTGGGGACCATCATCACCCACGTCTGTCCATTTTCTATTCAGTGAATGTTCAGATCAAACATCTCGTCCATGTGAAGTCTGTCTGCAACGATTATACATTTATTTATTCATGTGTGTGTGTGTGTGTGTGAGTGTGTGTGTCTGTGTGTGTGTGTTATTTCAGATCACTTTTTGTTGAACCATGTAAAAAATAAATCTTGTTTTCTGTATTAATCTGCCTTTTGTTGCTTCGACTTCTTCTGATTGTAAACTGTGATGCACTCTTAAAAGAAACGTGTGTGTGTGTGTCTGTCTGTGTGTCTGTGTGTGTGTGTGTGTCTGTGTGTGTGTGTCTGTGTGTGTGTGTGTGTGTGTGTGTGTGTGTGTGTGTGTGTGTGTGTGTGTGTGTGTGTGTGTGTGTGTCTGTGTGTCTTTGTGTGTGTGTGTCTGTGTGTGTGTGTCTGTGTGTGTGTGTGTGTCTGTGTGTGTCTGTGTCTGTGTGTGTGTGTGTGTGTCTGTGTGTGTCTGTCTGTCTGTGTGTGTCTGTCTGTCTGTCTGTGTGTGTCTGTGTGTGTGTGTGTGTGTGTCTGTGTGTCTGT